GGTTTAGGGTTTAGGGTTCGGCTTGGGACTTATACCCAGGCCCCAATACCCCCTTTATTAAAGGATTAGACCGTAAATCAGAATATGAAGCCCCAACAACTGAGGGTACGTTCCTTAGTCAAGGGGTCTTGGGCTCTCTTGGTAAAGGTCTCAAAAGTCCAAGTTTCACCCGAACCCTTAACCCTATCACCCTTACGAAACCCTCTCAGTCTCCCTCAAAATCCAGCAGGTTCCAGCCGAGCTGGCACCAAGCTTCCGCCGCGCGGCTTCCTGTGCTGCAGAGGCTAATTGCGAGGTTGAGGGTTTAGCATTGAGGGTTTAGGGGTACAGAGTTCAGGCGTCATGGCTGGGGTTATAGGGTGCGGCAGAGGCCATGGTTGGTTTACGGTTCTAGTGGTTGTACAGGGGTGCGATGCAGGTTGGGTGTAGATGTAGGGCGTGTGCGATTTCTTGTTTAGGGTCATATGTAGAAAAAGCCTGGGATTCGTGGGATCCTTTCCATAGCGTGAATCGTCTTCGGGTGAGTTTTATGATTTCGGGTTTTTGCTCATTTTAAGGGGAGCCTCGAAGACATGGTTTTCGTGTGCCTTATGATGTGACTCTTAGACGGTGGGGCTTTCATCCCCAGCTCCCTCAACCCTGCAGAGCCCGTCTGTCTGCACGCATTCTGGGCACCTCTAGCCGGCGTACCGCTACCGTGAGGTGCGCGACGGTGTAGAGTGCTCCGCGCTGTGCCCTAAACCCTTACAGGAACCCTAGTCTACTTATTAAGGCCCCTAAATCCTAAACCCCTAAACCCAAAAAAACCCTAAACCCTTAAAGGAACCCTAGTCTACTTATTAAGGCCCCTAAACCCCTAAACGCCTAAACCCTAAACCCTTAAAGGAACCCTAGTCTACTTATTAAGGCCCCTAAACCCCTAAACCCAAAAAAAACCTAAACCCTTAAAGGAACCCTAGTCTACTTATTAAGGCCCCTAAATCCTAAACCCCCAAAACCCTAAACCCTTAAAGGAACCCTAAACCCTTAAAGGAACCCCATTCTACTTATTAAGGCCCCGACAGTGCCAGGTCATGGAGCGACATTGGGGCTTAGTAAGTAGGGTTATAAGTACCTTAAGTAAGTAGTGTTATGAGTAGATAGAACTATAGCTACCTGACTTGTAACCCTGCTAACAAAGTCCCTCCAAGTACAGTGCCAGATCATGGAGCGACATTGGGGCGCGCCGGTGCCCGCCGTGCCCATCCTGCCGGTGCCCCTGCCGCTGCAGGCGGGGGGGTTCAGGAGTTTGGGGTTTAAGGGGGTTTAGGGCCTATTTTGAGGAGTTTAGGGTTCAGGAATTTAGGGTTTCGGCGGGTTTAGGGTTTCGGGTTCAGGAATTTAGGGTTTCGGGGAGTTTAGGGTTTCGGGTTTAGGGTTTCGGGGGGTTAAGGGTTTCGGGTTCAGGAGTTTAGGGTTTAAGGGGGGGTTGGGTTTAGGATTTTAGGGTTTTTGCGTTTTGAGTTCAGGAATTTAGGGTTTACGGGTGTTTTGGGTAGCAACAGAATACTAATCAAAAGTGATTATTATTGTTAACATTATGATTGCGGTGAGTATAATTGTATGTAGACTGCTTGCGGCTTGAGGTCACCGGGTGTTTTGGGCTCCTTATGGGGTTAAAAGGTTATCAACAGTTCTGCAAGGCTTGTCATAGGGCTTCCGGTGGGACTTGACTTGGGTTTAGGGTTGATGGCATCAGGGCTTACAAGGCTTTGGGGCGGTGTCTGGTTTGGCCTTAGGTTGCAGGGTTGCTCGGGTTAGGATCAGGCTCAGAGGTGCCAGGGCATTGGAGCAGTATTTTTTGCAGCTTGAGGGTTTTCTTTGTGTTGCTTCAGGGTCTAAGATGTCAGTCTTAGGATGTCAAGTCTGGTAGGCTTTAGAGGCTGCAGAGTGTCTGATATCCTGAGAAACTACCATTTCACTCGCGGGCGTCGGCTTTCAGATCGTCGCAAAAACCTAAGGCATCGACCGCTTACACAGACAAACCATGGACGCAGTCTCTTGGACAACAAACCCTGAAAAACTGAAGCCGCAATTTAGGGTTTAGGGGTTTAGGGTTTAGGGGTTGAGCTAATAAAGGGGCCTTAATAGTTAGAATAGGGTTTGGAAGATATTTTCGCATAATGATAATAAGGAACCCTAAGAACGATATGGGTAATTATTTTGGCAATTTAGGCTTCTACATTAGATCCCTTTTGAACGTACCTGAAGCCTAAACCGGCCTCCGAAGCTCGGGCAGGTCGTTTGAAGGAGCCAATCGCTCTTCAGAGTGGCAAGGCATCCCCCACTAGGGTTTAGGGTTTAGGGTTTAGGGTTTAGGCAGTATATAGAGGGACTGATTTAGGAATCAGGGGTCCAGGGTTTAGGGGCTCAGGGTTTGGGGCCAGGGTACACTCTCAGGGCTTAATGTAATGCCTTGGCCTTAATAATTAGAATAGGGCTTTTGGGGCCTATTATACTATAGACTATAGCTATAATAAGGACTACCCAAAATAGTATTGGTAATTATTTACGCCGCTACGTTTTTGTGGCCTATTATACTATAGTTATAATAAGGACCACCCGAAATAGGGCAATTAAGTAGGCTCCTACGTTACACAGAGGCACCAAGACCCCCAAACTAAGGAACGCTCTGGAGTCTCTGGGCTCAGGGTTCAGATGTCAGGGCAGTTTGCAACCCTGAGCTCTAAACCCGAACTAGGTAGGCCTTTGAGATATCTTCATTGTGCTCTTATTGGGCTTAAGAGAATCTTATCTAGGAATGTTGTTCTTAGGCTTTGAAGGGCCAACATTCATCATCACGACCATCATTCCTCATCATCCTCATCATCCTAAGCCTCGTCTGCAAGTTTCACATCCCGTCGACGCCATGCCTCACAAAAAGAGCAAGGCGAAGGCGAAGTTCCACCACGACTAAGCCTGCATCGAAGGCCAGATCGAAGGCGTGGAAGGACTTAAATGCCGCCATCGACATCCGCGGCCAGTCGGAGGATCCTCTTCGACGTGCGGATGCATCCAGTGTCAAGGTCGCAGAGGATTTACAGAAGGCGGCTGCATCCAGAGAGGAGGCCAAGGAGGAGAGAAAGAAGGCGGAGCTGGACAAGGCTCGGGTGGAGTCTCTTTACAAGGCCACCCAGGATGCCCTCAGAGCCGCACCTCAACATATTGAGTATCCTAAACCTTTTCGTTTTCTGTTGTGTAAACTTGTTAAAGTTCGGAGATCGTGCCCGGGGTGCAATATTGGTGCTTTGCTCATCAAGAAGAAGGTTTCATAGGATTCTATAGAGGGTTCATAAGGGTTTAGTATAGAGCCAGGGATCTTCATGATTAGAGCATGTGGATATGTGGCAGTAGGTATTAAAGATGTAACCAAGAACCCTGAGAAACAGCATTGCTAGCTGTCCAGGCTTCCACAGCACTGTCAGACGTTGAGGTAACCGGGGTGAGAAGTCATAAACTCGACAAAAACCCTACAACCCTAAAATCCTGAATCGTACAACTCTAAACCCCTACAACCCTAAACCCCGAACTCCCACCGGTCTAAACCCTTCCTTCCCTTTAAGTTGTGAACTCACACAGTTCCCCAAGCTTCGGGGTCAGAGCTCCAATATCAAAACCCCGAAGAAGGTCTCTAGGGCTTAAGGGACTAGGGCTTAAGGGTTTGGGGGTTTAAGGTTTAGGGTTTAGGGCAATAGAGTTGGGTGTTCTAGGGTTTGGTGTTTGGGGTTGCGGTTGTAGGGTGGAGGTCTCGTATCAAAATCCCAGAGCCCTTAACATCGAAGGGATTTCTCCTAAACTCTAGCCCCTGAACCCTAAGCCCCTAAACCCTAAACCGCTAAACCCTGAACACGACTGGCAGGAGCATCTTCCCCGTGCGCAGGCAGATCTGTGCCAAATCCCAGGCTCATGCTTGGCACTAAAGGGTTTACTATAGGGCCCTAACTCATCATCAATACTATTTTGGGGGGGTTCCTTATTATAACTACAGTATAACGGGCCCCAAAACCCTATTATAATAATTGAGGCCCCGACAGTAGGCGTTGTCTTAGGGTTCAGGCTTGCGGGCAGCAGTTCAGGGTCTTTGGGGTTTCAGAAAGGTCTACTGCTCAGAGATGTGGAACCGATACTCAACCGGGGATGAACCCTAAGCCCTAAACCCTAAACCCACAACCCTAAATGGGACCCTAAACCCTAAACCCACAACCCTAAATGGGACCCTAAACCCTAAATCAGCTTGGACCATGACCGCTCGCACCGCGACTCTGAAATTTAATGAGATCCTAAGCCCTTAGCTCCAGAAATTTGAACCAGAACTTCACCCCCAAAAACCCTAGATGGAACCCCCCAAAACCCTAGGTATAATATGAATGGGTCTCTGCCGCATCCAGCAGCCGGATCTGGCAATGTGCATCTTCACCGCGCTCATTCTTGGGAGTTTCTCTGCAATCTATTTCATGTCTAGTATGGGATCAACTATTTTGGCCTAGAGCATAAGATTAATATTTCATGTGTAGGATTCCAACCTCATGTCAGTATACTCAGTGACATTCATGACATATCCCGGCATAATCTGTTGTCATGCAGGGTCTAGAATACGACGGTTTCCAGGAGACGGGTGCACCTGCTTCTGGTTCACACGCAAAGACCCCTAACCCTTAAACTTTGAACCCTAAAACCCCGTTCTCGACCAGTTACCCCGCACCTTAACCTACCAGAACCTACTTTTTGCAGGGTCCCTATAAATCCAATATTAGGCTTTATAAGAAGAAACTACACAAAAGTGGGTTTTGGTAGGTTAAGGTAGAACCTTATTCAGGGAAGGCTCTAAAGCCGAAACCCAAGTCGCGAGAAACTCCTACTTTCAATTCGTTTGGAAAGCGGACGCATATACCGCGTCCCAGTGACAGACATGCGGGTCATGAGGGAATAGGCTCCCGCACCCTGGCAGGCGGAGCTTTTAGGTTCCTAGAGTGTGGTCCCTTTGTTGTGGATCCCCGCAAGGTGAGTCATCTACCTTAACCCACCAGAACCTACTTTTTTGTAGGGTCCCTATAATTCCCATATCAGCAAAAGTGGATTTTGGTAGATTAAGGTAGACTAACTCTAGAGCATTTGCCCATGCGGCATTCGCAGCTTCAACTCCGCGTCGCCTAGTCCTGCATCCTGCGACCCCGCGTTTGCAGCTTCATCCCAGAAGGTCCTGGTTCGGATACTATAAAGGTCGGAACAACTAGCATTCCATATTCCCTTACAGTCCCCATGTAGTTATAGTATACGATGCATAGTCCTAAACCCTAACCCTAAACCGTCCAAAGCCCCGTTCTACTTGTTAAGGCCCCTATGTTAGGACTGATGTGGGATCTTGGCAATCAACTCGAAGACTGGCATGTCCAGGTTTGGGGTACTTAGTAAGTACGGGTGATAGGGTTTAGGATTATAGGGTTTATGGTTATAGGGTTTAGGGCGTGGGTTATAAGCAACTTATTTTTCGATCATAAGCAGACATAACTATGGATACCTTACTTCTCACCCTGCTTACTAAGTCCCTTGAACCTCCATACCGAATAAAAGCAGAGTAGAGTGGAGTGCCTTGGAGCCCCAAGCATCCAAAAGATCCAAAAGCAATAATATAGGGGCCTTAATAGCTAGAACGGGGTTTTGGGGCCCAGTATACCATAATTACAATAAGGATCCCCAAAAAATAGTATTGTTCATTATTTAGGCCCCTACATTAGCAGGTCCAGCAGGCTTTGCAGAAGTGAGCTAGCCTGTCCCAGGGAGTTTAGGGTTTTTTGGTCCATGAGTTTGTGCAAACAGGTGATTGTCAAAACCTGGACCCCCAAACTTCAAGATCTCACATGACCTTAATATAGGGGCCTTCATAATTGCCTATACTATTTTGGGGGGTTCCTTCTTATAAGTATAGCATAAAACACCCCAAAACCCTATTCTACTTAAGGCCCCCACCTTAGAGCCCAAGACCCTGACCTGAATACCCTAAGACCCACGCAGCGCCGCCGCCCTAAAAAATCAAACCCTGAAGAGCCCGCATGGTTTCGAAGCATTCCGAAGCACATTTCAAGCAGGCGCCCCAGAGAGGAAATGGACCGCTTGCCGGTCCTTCCAGTAAAGACAGAGATCAGGGCTCGCGGGCTTTGGGTTCAGGAAGGTGCAGCAAATAGTTGCAAGAACCGCTATAATGTCACACTTCTTAGCCAGAATGAGCCTGTCTTACTCATGCAAAACTAGCAACAATCGCGGTTGCGGTACTAGCAAGATTCATAGAGAAGCTCTCTCGAAGTCGCAGGAACTGCCCTGGTGGCCGTAGTTCACATGACCTTGGGTGGTGGTGGTAGCGCAACAACTGGGGGTTTCCGAAATCAGGGGACCCTAAGATAGTACTCTAATTAATAGGATCCTTATTGTAAGGACCCCCAAAATAAGGTACCCTAATTTTCGGAATATCTCAACTGCTTGCCACGGCAACAACAGCGACAACCCCAGCAGCAGCAGCAACAACAACAGCAGCAATAGTAAAAGACATCGTCCAAATACTGACAACAACGGAGGCCGAAGAGAGGTAAAAAGAGCTGTAGCAATTCTTCCTCGTCGTCGTAGTATGAAGACTAGTCAGACCTCTTGTAGCAGCGGTAAATATGATAACGATAATAAGGAGAGCAAAGACACGCAGTATGCTTAGAACTCCGGTAGTCAGCGTTTGAACTTACGGTGCTCTTGCATTTAAGCGCTATGCTCAAGTTTTTGTTTTCTGTGCACGTCCTTGGCTCCTTGAGAAGAAAAATAAAACATGCCTGGAAGAACCTCATTCTAAACTACTCGGAACTCAGAACTGTCTGGCATTTGCTATATTGAAGGGACGTACCCCAAAACCTGAGCCACCTCAAGCCTGTCATGAATAACCCCTAAACCCTAAACCCGAAACCGAAACCCTAAACCAAGAGTCAGGGCCTCAGGGCGCCTGCCAGCGGGAGGAGCCTACCCACGAGGGCAGCGTTGAGCTTCCTGCGGCTGGTTGACACCCCGGGCCCCCCCCAAACCCACAGCCCTAAGCCGGGTCCGAAAATTTGAGAGGGGGTTTAGGGGTCTAGGGGTTCGGGTTTAGGGTTTAGGGTTTTAGGGGTTTAGGGTTTAGGGGTTTAGGGTTTAGGGGTTTAGGGTCTACTTAAAGGATCAGGGGGCACGTAGTAAGTATGGTTGTAAGTACCCTAATTAGGGTTATAACCCTAC